TCGTAGAAGACTTAGAGGTCGAGGATGCTGTAGAAGTGTTCGAGGTCGTAGAAGACTTAGAGGTCGTCGATGACACGGAGCTATAGCGAACGTCAATACTGTTTCCTACATCAGATCCGAAGACGAAACTTACGTGCTGCTGGACGATACGACGGTGGTCTTCTTGTACACCTTCAAGCCGTTGATGAGCCAGAAAGCATCCTTATATTTGTCGGGGTTGGCTGCAACATAAGAATTGCAAGTAGGGTACTTGACTTTGTCATAGCATGAAGTAGCCTCCCAAAATACTGATTGACCAGCCCAGTTTCCGCAGAATGTAGTGTCAAGAACAATCTTGTGGTCCTTGAAGTGAGAATCAATATCGCATTGGCCCTTGGCGGTGGTGAAAGTCGGCAATCCCCATTTAGATGGATCTGGGTTACCAGATTTGATATCACTGGGGATGCTGTTTGCACCAAAGTTCCAGACCTGAATCACATCGCTTGTCCATTCCATGGCATAGACGCCACCTCCGTTTTTGTTGAACGAGGAACCATACGAGGCGGGGTCGGTGTTGGTGGATGCACAACCTTGGTTCTCATATTGGGAGCCGAAGGGGCTGCTTGTCGCTTTATCATCGCAATTGTAGGTTTCCTGTTTACCTGACTGCTGGAGACCATGTTGGTTCCCGGCGACGACGCAACCGGGTGAGGTATGGAGCGCCTCCAAGGAGACGGTGTTCTCGTGGATATTCTCCAAGATGTCGATCTCTCCTTGCGACGGGTAGTTCACGTCTGAGTAGGTCCAAAACGCGGGCCAGGTTCCACAAACAGATGCCGGCATGTGGGCGAGATCGAGGAGGAAAAGACCATGGTTGTATGTCTTCTTGGACTCGATTCTCACGCTGGGCCGTCCGACTCCAGTTGGGTTGTATTTGTTCCAGTGATCAACTCCCATGTAGGCTTGATTGCCCGAAGTCGAAGCCAAAGGCCCTCCAAGTCCAGAGGACATTGCTTTCTGCTTGTCTTGATATTGAACATACCCGGCGGTAGGATCGGGGCCCTTTCAAAACATTAGATAAGTCCGAGCAGCCTGGATACTATCGAGTACTTACACTCATGAAATCGAAGAAATCGAAAAAGTTCGATCCCTTGTAGTCATCGCTCGAATCGAGGGTATACTTCTGGGTCGCCGAGACGGTACTCGCACAGGCAAGCGCCAAAGCGCCGGCCTTGATGATGCGGGAAGGCGACATATTAAAAAGTTCAATTACTAAAAATTATAAAAGAGTGACTAGACGCGAAATACGTCAATGAGGAAATCGATGCTCTCAGAATGAGTGATGAGAGAAAGTTTGGCCGTACCTATGCCAATGGTGGGCGGGCCAGCCCTTTTAGGGTAGTTGTGTCCATGCCACTCAAATTGCAACGCCCAAGACCCTAGGGGAACACGACCCATTATCACTTGGCACTTGCTGGTCAAGGAGATATACGGGGTGCTATATTTAACCTGGCATCCGATAGACCCACAATACACCCAGGCGGTGTTGTGCAGTGCTCAATGGATAGAGATTCCCAGTGGCCGGTTTCTCGTATCATCGTATGCTTCGCTCTCATTCAATGCAAGACAGTTTCCTGAGAACAACTTTGTTTCAAGGGACGAAGGAAGTACAGGGCTTCCTGCCATTACTTCGTCTTGCACTTGGAATTACTGTACCCCCGTGCAGCGCCTGAGAATACCTTCCCTTCACGGGTGGTCCGGAGCAAGACACGACTGGCGTTCACTGCTACTCCAGACTTAAGGCTCGTCAGGGGCAGCGCCGACAGGCCGGAGCTACCCATCGTATCGGCGGGAGATGAGCAGTCCCCAACGTGCCTTTCAGGGAATAACAAACTAAACCGAGGCGCTCTGTAGGGGGGGGCGTCCCCGGTTGGGACCGAATCCCCATGGGTTCATTGGGCAGACCCCTAAAAGAGACGACGTCCGGAGAATTCAACTGGCCTCACCGTCTAAGACTCCAGGCGCCCAGGGCCGGGGCCGAGACTCTGGGCGATTTCCACTCTGCATTGGGACCGAAGCCCGCTTAGACGCAAAGCGACGCGGGCTCTATTGATCCGCCGCTGATTATTATGATTATTAACGGCAATTCGCTCGCATACGGTGTTGGCTCAGGGCCAATTCTCAATTGCTCATCCCCTTTCCGTTCATGCTAGGCCACGACTCGGGGGTCGCTTGACGCCGTGCTTCCATGTTGCGATGCTGCCAGGCTGGCGGTAGGGGAAGGCGGCGGACACGCCAGGGCTTGCAACGACACGACACCAAAAGGGAAAAGGGCGCGTCTGTCGTAATAACGCAGATCGAGCATAGAGGGCGATGTTTGTTTATTGTTAATTACAAATAGTTGTCTAAGTTCAGGTACGACGTGGGCGTGGGTTGGTGGCGTATATTGAAGTTGGCGGGGCCACGGCCTAACCGAGCAACGCTAATCTGCTAAGGTAAGGTACGGAGTCCAGCGCCTGAAGGTGCTTTAAGGTACAGTAGTACCTAGGTAGGTAGGTAAAGTACCCTTCGTGCTCAAGGTACGCTGGGTCAGGCTGTCAGCACTACTGCTCCCCGTAAGTACGGCTATTGATATTTAGCGCCAAGGGTCAGAGCTTATTACTGTGGACCTCCAGCAGTCCAGGGGCACACAAAGGGTAAACGAACAACTTGCAACCACTTCGCACTGCACCGACTATATAATAAACGAACACCCACCGCCCTACGAGTAGAGCCGCTGTTGTGGTGACCTGGTAGCTATGCTATTTACCCGCTCACGTTCTCTGGTAATACCCGACGTACCTGCATGTGCTCTCGTGCTTGCTTGTCATTGGTACCTGCGTATCTTCAAAGCTCACCCTTATGCGAAGCACTATTCAAATAAAACCAACCAGCTGTTCTCCATGATAAACATTGATTGCGAGTACCCCGCCCTTTTGACTGGATCCGTTGTAGACTACCAGGTAGGCTACGGACTGGCATATACGGGGTTTCTCGACCCGGTGACGAAATGGGTTTGCTTTGAAATAGACGGCGGGGTTAAATTTGCCTTGTAAAATCAAACTTTGGTTTACCATATGTTTAAAGTAGGCTAGTCATGACGGGCACACCAATAGTGTGGAACTAGGACTGGAAGATGGGATAATACATTAGTTCCGAGCTCTATGGCCTGATTTCTCTTGAACTTGGAAGGCATTGGGCATATTCCATCTTCATCCATTTTACTCCGTACATTGTCTATTTATCTAGCAAAGCTTCCAACAACCTGCAAATAACTCGACTTGATATTAAATAACAAGAGAGAGGTTGGCCGACTCCAGAAATGACTTTTCCGATGCTTTAAAATGGAAGCCAAAGGGCAGAGAGCGAGGTTCCCCAACTCAAGAAGAGTAGATCACCAAACCGTAACATCCATATATTTCCATAACGTCCGTAAACGAAGGGTCTTCTAAAAGCTGCGCTGCAGTCAAGTGGTAGCAAAATCCTTGAGGCAAAGCTAATAATACGAGATCCCGCTCGGATGAACTACTCGTAAGCTTTAGGTCATTCACGATTAGTGATTGCTCCGGGGCTTACTCCGGAATCGGGAGTTCGACTTGGATCATACCACAGATCGTTGCGCTTGCCTCCAGCATTAAAATACCCGTTTGATAACGCTGGCGGTGGCAGTGGACATAGGCGCTTGATTAAATTACCTACCTAGACACTGAGGATATATTTGCTATATCGAGAAACGCGACGAAGCCAAGATAGAGCTCTGCAAAGAGGCACATATAACTCCATATGTCGCTAGTTAAATTAGAATATGCGTGATGAAATCGACCTGGAGCACAATAGGTAGCAGGCGATTGCCATTTGCAACACTACCAGTATCCCAGCCTTAAATACCAGACAAAAGTCGCGGAGATAAATATTATCCCTAGGTAACGAACGCTTGGGGACTTCCATGGGCTGAACAAGCTCTCCAGGATTCCCCGCTCCCTCCTACAACAGCATCTTTTTAGGGCAGTAAAGGAGGTTCGTATTTGGCTTTCAGCTCGTATTCTAATTTCGATGAGGGGGCCATCTCCCACTGTCCACATGATGTCCCCGTTGTTCATATCTATACGAAGTAAACATATTATATTAGTTTAGGTACTATAGGGACAGCTAGCTAGGGCTAGCTTACCACTGTGTATAATTCCGGTCTCGTGTAAGTGTTTCAAGGTTTCTAACAACTACTTCGGAGCAGAAATACTACCAACAACTAGCTTGAGCAGGTACGGAGACTCAGGCCGCATACTGGAAATACGAGAACTCCTTCAACTCCAGGGGGCGTAAAGGTGCCCTGATAAGCAGGAAAGCAGGAGCTATCCTGTACAGTTTGAAGGATTTCCTTCTGCATATTGAGTTCGTGTTCTCCTGTATCCCCTGGAATCATAATCTTGAGAACCACTTCCTTAAAGTTTTCGGTGTCGTAGGCCTTCTAGACAGTTGAGAAGCCTCGACAGCCCAGTTTATGCTCCACTGGAGGCGCAGTTTCCAGGGCTCCTCCGATTCGAATTGAATAGCATATGTCCTCCAGGTATCGTTCAAGACGTTCAGGACTCTCCGTAATATAAATCTCGTCTTCAAAGCTGACAATGTCACCGCAATCTTGTAGGCTATCGTCATGAGGAGATGGTGGCCCCATGGCCCCTATCTAAGTTATGAGTAAGGCTGCCGTTGTAGAACTGAGGCCGTTGATACTCAGGTGTATCGAAGGTAATCCTCGCTGACTTCGCTCTGGCTGTGGTTTATCCCCTGTTAGTCAACAAAGTTATAGCTTCTTGTGACTTATTGACTCTTATGGGTAGGCCAGAAGCGTGGGTTTGTAGCGTAACCCTACCGGTTCCTACGTAAGTAATCCCTATCCTGCGCTCTCAAAGTTTATCTAATTGAAATGTTATTAATGCATACGTAGCAGGAATGCAATACTCGAAGCGCTATGACGGCCCTATCGGAAGGCCAAAGTTGATAAAATAGAACAATACCCGGGGAAAGAACTTAGAATGAAATAAAACTTGGCCGCATTCATCAAGCTCTGGCTCTTGGATACGAGCTTTTTGCACTCGTCGATGGTCTCGTTCTTGCCGGCCGCGGCGGCATAGCCGTCTTTCCAGAAACCCCAATCTCTCAAGTGAAAGGAGAAGCCGCCCTGTTATAGAAATTTCCGAAATTTCAACTTGTTCCACCCGTAACAAGGGATACAATATGTGCTGGATGGAGTTCTGGCCGTCCCAAAAGATCACTAGGCAGCAACCATAAGGCCCATAATATAGTACACCCTTTCCCATGCTTGTCTGGGCTGCTCCTCGAATATGTCACGCATGGCATAGATTGCATACGTGGATTATCTGCGCAGCAGACGACGCTGGTGGTTCTAGGAAGCCATAAAGTGCATAGTAGTTAACCCGCGCAATAGGGGTACGCTCGGCGTCCGACCTTAGAGAGTCGCGGTCAGTTAAACCCAGTTTGATCCATTTCTCGGGGCGCAAAAGGGGCTGCATAATTAATGCTATATACATAGTACCCGGCAGGTTATCTCGTATAGCCTCGCCCGGGCCATAATAGTTATGGTGAATCTCTTTCTTTTCCTGGAATTATTACCAGAAGAATATAGTATACACGACATAGGATCAGAGTCGCACTAGTAAGTTCATCATTGCAACAAACTTTGGGGATCAAGTAGGGTATTTTAATAGTATGGGCGATGGCATGGAATTTGCATAGTGTGAATATCGTAGCCGAATATTACGGGAAGACGAGGGTGGATTTCGCTATAGCTTCAAGTCACAATCAAATGGCTATTACGTGACGTGAAATCAGCCTTCTGAAAAGAAAATAATTATCTATATTATGGGAATATATATGGAAAGACAAGATTTCTTACAAGACTTTGGCCTTGCTGTTTCGATGGCCATATCGCCGTAAAGTTAATCCAATATCATGTGTTCGCTGACGGACCCAAAAGGAAATATTTGCATCTTTGTAATAAGCCATCCGCTGACTGAAAATCGAGGACTCGACGCGAATGTTATGCCCCGTGAAGTCGAGAGCTTGAGAGACATGAAGACACCCTTTGACCTTTCTGTACCACCAAACACCAATTACAAGGAAATCATCAGACTCCCATATAGAAAATAGAAATATACCTTCAAGATCATCAGGTGGAATATTCTCCCAGGAGATCCAAACTCCTCTTCAGAGCCTCAATATCCACCTCGATTTCGGCCCGCAACTTGTAAAGATTCTCCAACTTCTCTCTCAACCTCCCGCCACCCCCAGTGACCATCTTCGGGAATGACCCGCTGTCAGAGGATTCTTGTTGTCCTTTCATACTATCACTTGTATGATTTTGTTGTCTGAGAATCGATGGCGGTACCAAATTTGGCGACTGAGAAGAATGACATCGTTTCTGATGGTCAAAGAGGTTATACTTCCTTGGGAATCCTCGGACATGACGTTTGCATGAAGTAATAGGGCAGCAGTAGGTCTGTGATCCGTGGACCTCGCGGCTGTGTCGATCCAGACCGCCTTTGTCGCCAAAGCGAGTGTGTTTGCAATTTGGGACTTGGCAGATGTAAGGCTTGCTGTGTTTAGCTTCGTGTTTTCTGAAGTGTGTCAGTGCCGGCGTCAGGTTAGTCGTAGGAGGAGAGTGTACGGACCGCAAAGCGGATTCGGAGGGGAACTTGTGGTCCTGTGAGCACTCGGGGACTGAACATCGCAGCTTGGGACTATAACTAGCCGTGTTTCCCGACTCGATAGGGGCAGCAATCGCAGGGGTTTCAGTGGCCATGTTATAGCCAGGATATGTGCTGAAGGAAGATAGCTCTCTAGAAAATACCGGTCAGCTACCTAGACCCGAAAACGTGATGTATAGATTTGATTCAGAAAGTCGGGAATTGGCGAATATGAGCCGCATGTGACATACCCTACAGAATGGTCTTGGCTATTGTCTAGACAGCTGAACAGATCATCGTTATTAACAGGCACATAATTCACATCTGTGGATATGTGAGCTGTAATGCATAAAGGTGGGGTGCTTGGAAGCACTTACGATCTTGGTCACTCCAGTTGTTGTTCGAAGGATACAGGTTCAAATGCGAATATTTGGAGAAGTTAGTAGTGTGAAACAATGACCTCTTCGTTCCATAGTCCCTCTGGCTCCCCCATAGTCATGAGAAGATGTGGTGAGACGGAAGGTCGCGCGGAGGAGAGGGGAAGACGAAGGAGAAGGTCGTCGGAGAGGTTTGAGGGGTGGAGGATAGACCATAAGATGTCTCTAGATGTTTTCACGTACTGTATGTGACATCTTGTTGATCGACGGGTTGCTCAGAAAAGGAGACACCTCCTGAAACTACAGTACATGAGCATCGAGGACTCGCCAGCAGTTTTTGAATCTGAAGGTATCTCACACGTTGAATTAGAAATTGTTTGATGAGTGTCGGTGGGGAAAGAATTCAAGTCTTGGAGGGTGTTAGGATTTGGCAGACTCGGAAGGTCAATGTGAGGGAAGTGGGTGATCTGACCGAGGTCAGTCAACTTGAGATAAGATTGCTGAACATCATTGAAGTCAGTATAGTTCCCCATTGTGCCTGTGGTGACGAGTGGTAACTCACATCATGCAGCGGGCCCCATTTACTTTTCAAGTCGAAAATTTGACAGCACTTCGTTGCTGGACAGAAGAAGACGTGCGGGAACCGGTACAGATATAAGAAACCCCCAGGCTGGTTAAGACTTATCTCGCTACCCTTTTTATCTTGGCATATGCACAAATGAGACAACCCAAGGCAGATTCCCAAAGCTAGTACGTATGCTACGAGCCAAAATATTAGAACTCACCAATTGAATTAAACCAAATGCCAGTGAGATATTGAGAATGTTGTGCCGCGTTGACAAGTCAGCGGAGTTGCAGCTCAAAAGCAAAGTATCCTGCTCCTCTACCTTGATTCTTGGGCGCGAGAGACACTCGGTGTAGCAGTACAGCCCACCTTGTGAGCAGTGAGGCTGAACTACCCTACCGCCCGAGTTACACTCGTCCCAATTCTCGGGCGAGACACCTGCCAACCCGAAATCCTCTACATCACCGCCCGAGTACTACATAGTATCCACGTCGCCGAGTGAGGCTGCCAACCTCAAAGCCCAAAGCCCAAGGCAGATTCACCCCGATTCTGAGGCGGAAAACACTTGCCCACATGAAAGACAAAGACAACTTAGCAGACTTTCTATTGTCGACTTATTGTCGCGTGCAAAATCCAATGCAAAAGGACATGAGAATTTGAGGGAGGCGAACTCACTATTGGGTGATCCTGCATTTGCGAATAGAGTGAATAGCACATCGAGAGGAGATGTGATAAATGAATCTATTGCAAGCTTTGAGTACCATACACTCCGTGTCGCCTCTCCAGACAGAAAGTGAAGACTCGGAAGTAAAGCCTGCGCTGGAGACCTGAAACGGCATCAGACACCTTCAATAGTGGTAGTTCCTTTGTGCTGAACTTGATTCTGGGCTCTATACAGTTGACGCTGACGAAGGGGCGAGTTGATGACAGTGTCGCTGGATTTAGCGTCATTTTCGACGTCGACTACGATGCTCTCGGCATCGTTCTTTACCGAATGAACCGCGCTGAGTCGTCGATTATCGAAGTTGTGGCCGCTATTGGGTCCAGGACCAAATTGTTACCTGATTCGATTGATTTACGGTAATGTTTGAGGAGAGAAATACCTAAAGTCAACAGTACGATAGCACTGTTAGGAGGATTAGAACTGGTAACTGGGGAAACGATAACTTTGGAGGATGCAATTCAGAGCATGATTGTTAGAACGTTCTACCAAGGTCAAAGTCAATCCTTACCTACATGTATTGATATGCTTCTTTCACTCTGTACAGTATAATGAGTAATTGGTCATAACGATCCCCGCATTTCCCTTTGAGCAGCAATCGCCGAATCCGGCGACCACTACAATCCCCCCCTTTTACAAAGAAAACCACCGAGAATTTAGTAATAGTTGATCTGCTGACTGCTTCCCAACTAAAAGTATTTGCTATGTTACAAACATTTCATACTCAACTTTCCATCAAACTCTACCTATATACTCCCGCCTAGCTCAAGAAAAATCAATAGATAACATGAGTAAATCAGAGAAAGCTTTTTACTTCCCCACCAGTTGGGAAGCGGGCGATGAGCAACCTAACACAACTCGCTCTGCAGGCACAAATCCCCATTCCAGCGGCAGAGCGAGTCCTTTCCCAGGCGGCGATGCGAGAAGCAACCCACCTCCTCCGTCTGGGAATACACCTGGGAAGCAAGCAGACTATAATCTCGACCCTACATCTTCCTCTAGCACCCAAGAGGCACCATCAACTGATGTCATGGAACATGTTGAAGTCCCTATTGCCTCATCTTCCTCCTCTCAACCAACCCCGGAGAACCCCCCATCTACTGTCCCAAAGCGCGAAAGCCAAAGTACAAACCCAACGGCGGCAGAGTTCAGAGATACAGAAACCACCACACCATTAACCAGAGCTCCCTCAAAAGCCTCCATTAAGGCGAGCAGTTCAAACCTCAACGTTAGCACGCTGGGTCTTCCAACTCAAGCACCAACACCAACACCCTTCCCAACTCCAGCTACTGGGTCATCCAACCCGGTATCGACCCACCCTATCCCCATCCAGACAATCCCCGCAACGCCTAGAGAGCCTGATATGACAACGACTAGGCCGCAGGAGCAGCTACCTGCCCTTTTTGCGGGGCTTAAAGTGAGCTTGCTCGATTTACCTGCCGCCAAGGAGGGGGATAACACAGCGGCACTTTTTGGTGGAAGAGCAGAGGAAAATCAGTCTAGGGGTGAAAACATGGAAACAACGCAAGAGGAGAAATTTACTACTGCTACCACCGAGAGTTCAACTCTCGGAGTCGTAGAGGTTGATGAACTAGATAGCAGGAAACAGAATAATGACGCCGAGGAATGGGAGGAGCAGGCAGAGCGGGATAACAAGCCTCAGCACACGTTGGCTGATAGTTTAATCTTGGGAGATGCAAACAGTAAAGAGATTGACAACTCAACCCCCGATTACCCTACTTACACCAAAGGCTTCTCGCCCAACATCGCACCCCCTGCGAACTACAAGGCACCTTTCTCCAAAACCGATCTATTACTTAGTGACACGACTCAGCCTGAGTATTTGAACGCGCTATTCTTGGCTATCCACAAATCAGTCCTCGAGGACCAGCGCAGAATGGCATTTGAGTATACAAGAGCTCTAAACACGGCCCCAGGGTCTAAGATGGTATGTTTCTCTTTGGATTTCTCCTAGTCTTGGTTTTGCATCCTCGCTTGGAATAGGAATATGAAGAGAGAAGTGCTTATACACTAGGTGCTGGTTGCAATAGATACCGGAAGATGTAGCTAGATTCAAGGAATACGCCAGAGGAAGAGACGATGATGAATCTGTCTTGCTCGGCCAGCGCGCCATTGAGGTTATGGGAAATGAACAACTCAACCTGGTCGCCGAGATACTAAGGCGAGAGGATACGTCTACTAAAATTCAGCCAAAGCTCATGGCTAACGAGGTGTTGAATCATGCATTATTCGATGAGAATAACAGACTACGCCAGGAACTTGTAAAATCAGAACATGGGCGAGAGGGTCATGCCAAGAGGAAGGAAGAGCTGCTGGGAGAGCTCGAGCGAACAGAGAACGATAAGTGGGCGGCGTTGGCACATAATAGGAGGTTAGAAGAACAGCTTAAGGAAATTGCTAAATCTTCAAACGAGAAAGTCGGCAAACAGAAAGCCGAGGAGCAGGTAGTTGAGGAGGAAGTCGACGAGCAGGGTCATATATTATTCTATCAGAATAATAGTCTGCGCCAAGAACTCATAAAAGCAGAATATAACCAAGATTATTATACTAAGTGGAAGCACGAGTTGCTGGTAGTGCCCGAGAGGATAGAGGATAAATGGGCGGCATTGGAAAATAGTAGGAGGCTAGAAGAAGAGCTTAAGGAAATTACTAAAGATTCGAACGAGAAAGTTGGCAAACAGAAAGCCGAGGAGCAGGATATCAACGAGCAGGAGTATGTACTATTCCATGAGAATAACAAACTCCGCCAAGAACTCGCAAAATCAGAATTTGAGCGACAGGGTCATGCCAAGAGGAAGGAAGAGCTGCTGGTAGAGCTCGAGAGGACAGAACAGGATAAATGGGCGGCATTGGCAAAGATTAGGAAGCTAGAAGAACAGCTGAAGGTAAAAGCTTCCAACGAGAAAGCCGAGCATCAGAAAGTCGAGGAGGAAAAGATAACCATACATGGCGAGACAGAGAAGGAGAGCGGAACGCTAGTAAAAGAGCCAGCCTTGACAGATTTGCTAGCACAATTCTTTGAACCAGGTACGACTGGCAAGAAAGATAACAAACAGGTCGGCAAAGCAGGGCATATAGACCAAGTAGGAATGGAAAGGCTTAAGCAAGAAACCATGGCCTTTCACGGGGATGAACGAAGCTCGATGCTGTTTAACCAGCGATATTCGGACTCAAATACGGGGAGCGGGAATCGGTCAGCGTCATTGGAAGTCGAACAAGGTACCGAAACAAGTGCGTAGTTATGTGTCCTTAGCTAACTATAGCCAAAGGAGATCTATCCAAGCTAAAAGAGCAGCAATTAGAATCCCACAGCAGCGGTAAAGGGCGAGTAACTGCAGAAAGCGTCGACTTCGCTATCCTGCGGTGCGAGGTAGCATTACAGACTATGGCATACGAACGTGCCTTGCATGGTTGTACGGACCTTGATGGGCTTGCCGCCATCGGCGCGGCCGAGGACGCCATCCAGATGAGCAGAGAGCTGCAGGAGCCAGAATGGGCCAGTTGTATGGCCCGGAGTCGTTTCTGGGCTGGAATTGCTAACTTTTATGGAAATCGCTTTAGAGAGGCTCAGATGAACCTAGAGTGGTTCTTGGGCAGAGAGTGGTGTGTAGATGCGCTTGATCCAGAGAGAGAAGGAAAATGGCTTCATGATTGGATTGACCTTGAGGCGACGAGCCCGTCGGAAGATCCAGATGATTATCGGTGGGGAATAAGCAGACCGGAGGTAGGACAAACCAAAAGAGGTCCTGATGTGCTCGTCAACGATCTTGACTGGGGTTTGAGTAGCCAGGGAGGAAGCGAACATGATGAGATCAGAGGACGAACAAAATCGCGACCGGTATCATGGGACACCATTCCTGTCCTTGATTAAGTGATACACACAGTACATATAGATACTTGTGCTGTTTCAAAGCAGGGAGTACTCTAATTTAAATAGTGATTTGGATAGCGGTCGTGGGGTTGTGCTCTCGGAATATGAATCGGAATACCCTTTTCTGGCGATAAACATCCACTACTGGATTCATAGTATTGCCTAATATTCTACCGGTAATATGGTGCTCATTGGAACACCCCAGACCCAACTTGCAATCGCCATGGCTCCTACACTCATGGCTAAGGCCATAAGAAAGTTGACTTCGTTGTTATCAAGTAAGCCAAGTGGACCGCTTTCTACTACTCGACTTGGCTGCTCGTCTCCAAAACTGGATACCCGAGATTTCTTCCTCGCATCATATTTGTCCGTACCGCCTATTGTCCTGTCTAGGTCTTCTTCGATCGCATGATCAGATGTTGACTGTATCGGAGTCGAATTTTGGCCTTCACCACTAAGAATAGCTGCTTTGATTTCTGCTCTCGCCTTGTAATGCATGGTATTTGGGCCTGTTTTTGAGACGAGCACCTTCCTTCCTCCTTCCCCTTCCACAATTCGGCCAGTTCTTGTGTCGACCACGCTTTGCTGCAACCAGCCTCCCAAAAGGCTGTCGAGTACGCTCCCAAGGGCACCCCATAGTGTGATTGCAAACGTGAATCGCTGCCTCTCATTGAAGGCCCAGCCACTGTTAGATAGAGCTCCTGGTTTCTCCGAGGTGGGTGAACAAAATGGCGTCAATGCCATGGAACTTGTCGCGATTATAAGTGATCCTAACAGCCCTGCCGCAAGTCCCCAAGCCGTCACCCCACCATTTGTTCCAGGAGGGACTTTTCGAAATGTCCACGACGTAATAAGTCGAGGTCGACTCTTGGACAGGATTCCAAGTTCCGAGCTAAATGTATCCGCAGCGACAGCGGCGTAGTTCGCAATTATTCCAACCACCAGCAGGTCCCCGGGCCATGAATAACATTCATTTTTGTGCGCCTGGGCTGGGTCTTGTTCTCGTCGATGTAGTTGATACGCATGGAGGAGCGTGAGAACCGATGCTACTCCAGAATTTGCAAACACTGTAACACATTAGAGATGTTTCTTATAGACACTACCGTCATCGTATCTTACCTTGAACATGCGTTCTGGCTCCCTCGCCACCAGTGCTACCGGAGGCTTGTATGGTTAGCTTCGCTTTGATATCGTGCTTTACCTGCGGATAATTAGCGAGCATGTAGGCACCGGAATAGAATTGTACTATACCTTCGTCACTCTTGTGCCTGCTAGGAAGAATATGATGAGCAGTGCGAATGGGAGACTCCACGGGTGCACGGCGTGGGCAGCAGCTGTGAGAGCCGCGGCAACAATGCCGGCAGGTGTGAGGGATTGATGTGACCACGCTCGATATACTAGAGCTAGAGTAGCTGGTACTGCAATGATTGCCTTCATCTTTGATTTGATATCGGGCTTTGCTATTGTGGTGAGTTCGCGGTACAAATAACAAGTACTAATCGCCGTCTTGCGTAGCTCCTGGTTCGGCCTGCGATTATCAGGACCGATAAGGATTGCTCGAGCCACACCTGCTCATATCACCATTGACAAATTGCTTCCCCATTCTTGGATTCATTCAACTGTCCAACCCGCAATATCATATCGCAGTTCTGTTATCAACGCGGATAGATGCCACTTATCATGGTATACACGTAGTACATCGCATGTATGCTCGGGGATAGATAAGCTATTAAGCACAGGTACATAAGTTACTTAACCACTCATTTTCACACCCCCCCTTTTTCAACACTTCTACTTCTCCAGTACATCAATCACTATGACTGGTGCAGACGCATACGGTCAGGCCAGTTTGCCCACAGCGAACCCTACTAAGTCGTTCTGGCATCGTGACCCTTCCAAAGTCCTCTTCGGACACCGAACTACTCCATCATTGCCCACTGAGGCCGATGTGGTCGTTATTGGAAGCGGCATCGCTGGTGCATCGGCTGCCCACTTCCTCCGTGCGGATTTTCGAGGCAAGGATCTCGATATCGTGATGCTGGAGGCTAGGGAAGCGTGTTGGGGTGCCACCGGCCGAGTGAGTTTGCGCTTCTTGGTACCCCAGGAGTATCGCCATTAATACATATATCCATGTCCCTAGAATGGAGGCCACTGTCAACCTGCCATATATGCGTCTCCTCCTGAAATTGGCGCCTTTGAACTATACAATTATCAAGCTCTCGAGTCGTTGGTTGATGAGCATAGCATACCTTGTGAATGGAGATCTGTTTCTGGATGCCATGCCTACATGGACGAATCCCTATTTGCCGTGGGATTAAACCGAGTAGAAGAGCTCCAGAAAACAAACCCTGAGCTAGCAAAGCTCGTGAAAGTTATCACAAAGGGATCCACGCACCCGTCGTTAGCTGATCTTCGAGTTCCTACCGCGGTTGGTGCGATTTTGCAAACCAATGCTGCCTCGCTCTCCCCTTATAAACTGTTTTCCTGGATTCTAGAGAACCTCCTATCATTTAACGGTTCATATGGAGAGCCGATGTTCAACCTCCAAACCAACACACCGGTCACTCATGTTCAGAAGGTTGCCGATGAATCTTGGATAGTTCATACCGACCGGGGCATGATAGCTACGAAGCGTGTGCTTCTAACCACCAATGCATATACCTCACATTTACTGCCCAAATTCAGTGATCTCATCGTCCCGGTGCAAGGAGAAATGAGCGCACTCCTCCCGCCTGCGTCCATGGTCCCTGAAATGGAAATACATCAGCGGCTACAGCATACATATGCATTCATCGGCCATGGGAGTCAAAACATCAACCAAGATGACTACCTCGTTCAACGGCCGTTTTCATTATCGTCGTCTGCAAGCCGAGGCAAAAATGGTGGCGAGTTGATGTTTGGAGGGGGACGCAGATGTGCCAAAAATGCCGGGCTGGGGGTGTCGAATGATTCCTTCATCGACCCTTCCGCTGCCGCCTATCTGCGTCGAGAGCTTAATGTAGTTCTCGATCTGAATAATAAAGATGAGGAGCTTGAAGCTACGTATGAATGGAGTGGGATCATGGGATTCAGTCGAGATGGCTGTCCATGGGTGGGTGAACTGAGTGATGAGCTGGGAGTTGGTGGAGGTAAGGGACTCTGGATCTGTGCTGGATTTACAGGACATGGCATGCCGAATGCACATCTTTGTGCCAAAGCGATTGTTGAGCTAATGATGGGGACACAAGAGCAAGATGTTGAGCTGCCAGAGGTGTACAGGGTGAGTAGGTCGAGAATCGAGACAGCAAGAACTCTAGATGAAGTGCATATTGCAGATGCTAAAGGGACTGTGGTATGAATAGAAGGGCAATTCCAATTTGATAAATGATTTAATCTTAAAGTCAAGGGAAGTTGTCTTTTAATACATTCTGCTATCTCCGCCTTCTATCTTCCCTCCTTAAATGGACTACCCTAAAATATTGTACCCCACTAAGCGTGGGTCAGCGATGTGCAACCACACACGCAAAATCCCCCAGAACCCTCATGAGATGAATTGAAGTCTGCGATAGCTATTACGTATCTGGTATCTCAACTTTAGATGATGGCCCATCTGCCAAGATCCGCGGAGACTTACAATGTACTGACCCTGGGAAACTTAAATCAGATAAGAGCTGTACTGCAAGATCTCCGCGGGCGGCGATTGCGATTTGCAACAAAACAAAGGATGATATCGACTTATGCCGTCCTCCGATAAGAGAGCCACATGTTTTTGCTGAGTTATCTATTATATTATATTTAAGGGGTGGGTTTCGGATGCGATTTAAAGGATATTTATTTAAATGGGTAATGGGGTAGAAGCATCGCTACCCTAATAATCTGCGCCGAATCTTGACCTCACCAAATTATATTTCCGTCTCTGGACCGAGCAGCCGCTGCTCTAACCTGAGCTGAGCCCTGAGTCCTGAGCACGCTGATGAGTCAGCTGAATCATCCTGAAGGGTTCTGGCCCCCTTTCAGATCAGTTTCCCAATCGTCTATTTTAAGGTACTACTAATGCCTGCTGCCCTAAACACAGCCACCTCTTTCAACATATCAAGATGGCGATGAAGTCGAGCAGGGAATCGATCAGGGAGTCGATTCTGGCTCCATAGTCGGCCTTTCGGAAGCGATTTTGGATCCCTTGTCAGCAAGAGCCGCACGAAATGACGACCGAGCTTTCGTGGTATATGAACGCATTGCCTAAATCTATTAAACACTCTCTAACGTAACAAATAGAAATATTTTAGATTAAAAGAGGACAGAGTTTCGAATTCCTATTAATAGAATCTTTAATCATTATTAGTTGAAGTTAAAATAATCCAGAGAGCCTTCGAGGCCTCATGTTTTGCGCCCTTTTTACTACTACATTCTCTTCCCCGTATCTCCTTACTACCAAAGGTGACAGTGGAAGTAAATCTCTCTGGATAAAATTGTGTTGTATCATAGCGATACAAGGGGTGAAAACCTTCCGTATTACCATGCTCCTGGACTCTAACGGTATAGCTTGACATCGACGGTCCGTCTTCGGCCTGCAAGGGGGAAATTGGAGAAACTATATGTCTATTAGTATTAGAATCTTGTCTAAGAGAGGGGTGAGACTTAAGAGGTGCGTCTAAGAGAGTTCCCGCCTCCGACTTGTTATTAATATTAGACTCCTCTGGAATTATATACTTCTCGTTTTGATGTCGACGAGGATCGTCCACGTATTTTTCCAAGTCCACATCTAATACCATTGAGCCATGACTCTGGTTCCGGCGATTGATATGGCCGATCTGACCTAAGAGAAGATCACGGAAGTTGGCGTTTGGCTCTGGAGGCTTGCTTGGGCCACACAATACTTTATAGCATTCTTCGTATCGAAAGTTATCTATCAGAATTTCGTACATGTCCTGTTTTGAGAGTTTCCAAATTAACCCTGATTTGGAACATAGCGAGCAAACTGAAATACAATATGATTTCGCATACCTGAACCTCCTTCTCTGAAGCATATGGAGATATCGATCTCAAAGTCACATTTGCAACGGCGACTTTTAGTATTTTAAGGCCCAGCCAACGATCTGTCTTTGTCAGATTCCTTTCCACCTCGTAAAAATAAGATCTTCTTTGCTATTCATACCTTTAGTTATAACTGGGTTACCAGATACTACTTCAGTTGGACAAGGTGGCGACATCGCCACTGTGTCACCTGATGCCAACTCGGATATTTTGTTTATCGGGTGGACAAACGAAATGGAATCCGAAGATTCCTCTGGGAATATCTGGGCGACTGTTCGTGTAGGCGATCTCTCTGAGCGCGAGCAATAGGTTAAGAATTTCAAGAAGTTCCGTTTCAAACTTCTGGCAAATGGAGAGGAAGTGCCCATGGAGAGGAAGTGCCCATGGACGAGAAAATGATTATGTGGGAATTATGAGAACTGCCCATTTGCGATAAGAAACGAACCTTCATTTAATATATCAGAAACGAAGGGTACATATGAGATCTTCCAAAGATGGAGCTACAATTTCCAACTGGGGCTCATCCAGCCTCAAATATAGACCTGATGGCCTGGAATTTACAGTCGACGAAAGAAATAATTCGCAATTACTATTCTAGCCAATTACTAGGGATAATATGACAGTGAGGCTAGACTTGCTGGCCATGCATGCATAAAACAGCCGTTGGCTTCAGGCAGCATTAATTGAAATCATCTCATGGGCGTTTCTACCCAATCGACCGCTTTAACGACGATAACGATCCAACAGCGGCTTGCATTAAATGGTGCACGCGGTCATCGCAAGGCTGAAATTGCTGATTGTGCATGCATATAGCAATCGTTGCCTTTAGGCGGCAGTAATTGAAAGGATAACTTTCATCCACGTTAAAGTCGTTAATTGGATCTGAAAATCCCCCGAGACATTTTCTCCAGGCAGCAAATATTGCAGGCAAATTCCCAATTGAAGACATAAGAGCGTTCACATGCTATACTACCCTACATTGAAATGCAGATGCATGAATAGGGCGAGGCTTTGACTCTAGGCAGCTTTCGATAATATAATAATGTTGTAGAGGTGGGCTAACTGTCCACTCGAAGATGGTGCTGATAGTAAGGATAACTCAAATAAGCTTTTGCGGCACTGCTGAGCCTCTCAATATGCCTGCATAGAATTGGCAAGTGCAGATTGTTCGAAGTATTAGGAGTCTCCGATTTGGCCAACCACCATTTTTATATGTGGATACGATGCTGGTTGATCCATCACGAAATTTTAACCCGAGAACATATCTCGCTGACCTCCAGAACAAAAAGCCTTACAAGGCACAGACCCTTCGATCGAACGATAGTCGTCTGAGGTGGCCTGTAAGGTCAAATATTTGAACTTCTCCCATTGAGTTACTTGAAGAACCTAATTCAAGTATGACGATGACAATAGGACCGAAGAGGAAGATGGAAGTATATGCCGTCACTAATGGCTTTTCTCCTGCGCCAGGGGTCTTTTCTTCGTGGTAATTTATACCTAAGCATGTGCAAGATAATCAGAGGACTAGTTAACAACAAATTTCTTAGGGGGCATGTCCATCCTCTTGTAACTGGCTTCCCAAAGGCAAAACATCGAAAGTTTACAACTGTATTAGAAGCTGAAGCACACATGAAGGATCAAAGGCTGGAAGAATATATTAAAATTATAGAGGAAGTGCCAGAGGATATGGCTGTTAAGCAAGGAGAGAAGGTTTATTACGCAGTGGCAAATGGACGCTCGCCGGGGATACGAGAGTTTTACTCGTAAGGTCATTTCAACGACTGATATGAACTATGCTAAGTTCAATAGTGGAGATGGAGGGACTGAACCGAAAGTGATGAAATTCTCTGGTGCATGCCACAAGCGATTCCCAAGTTTGATGCAGGCAGAGAAGTTTATAGCAGATTGGGTAGAGATGTATTCAAGTGTCTGCAAAGAACTCATTAAGCAGGAGTTTTCTCGAGGTTTTCGCCCCTTAAGCATAAACGGCCCTCCTATCAGATTTATCAGAGAGCCAGAGAGGATTATTGTCAAAGGAAGTGTGGAGTGTATGCTCAGTGAAATGAGAATATGATCTCACACAGCACTGATTGCCATTTTAAGTGCTCGTATGTCGGACCAGAAACTTCATAGGCAGGAGGGTGTTGGATAGCTGCTAGCCCCTCTTAGCCTAGACTCCTAGCCAATTACTATCTATAATTCCTTATGCATCTGCGCTACCCATTATCATAGTAATAATCTTTCTTCTAAAGAGAATATAGCGATTAAGTGCCGACCCCGTGACTGAAGATCACAAGTGCTCCAGGCTAGCAGCAATATGGACTGAACGCTAAAATGTGTTATTTCAAAATAGTAACAACCAAAGAGAGACGTCTAAAATATAAAGAGAGAAGAGCTTTTGCAATAGGAAATTCTCCTCAAATGAAACAATGCGTGTGAATTTCAGCCAATCAAAGGCTTTCCCGTGATATATAGAACAGCATAAGGACAAAAAAGCGACTAAGGAAGTCCCAAATAATAATACTAAGGAATAGAACAAAATAGGAAAGCTAGGATCGCAAAGGTGTTTTTTATGTCCGGATTCCTGTGTCCTGTTTTCGGTACTACAGATCCGGGAGAATTGGGCATCTTGTCTGCTCATCTATGTACAAGCCCTCAGACTACTAAATTAGTAGCTGGGTGGGTGGCCACCAGTTAATACTTGCTATTATACGCTTTGCGTGGCGTTGTGGAGGTTTTTCTGGAAACTTTCTATAGTAAGCAGCTAGGCTCTTTTTAGTTGTGGCCAATAAGGTATTTTCATTGCTTATTCGCATCTCATAATACGTGCTGGAACATCGTCGCACTATAAACTGACTTCTTAAGATGCTTTTAGATGAAGTTATACTTGAGTAGTGCATTCCTCTCTAGAGGAGAATTGCCTAAAATATGCTTTGCATAAAACGAATATCTATCTACAGCCAAGCAAAATCTTCGCCGCATCGCCCTAGAACAAGAGATTGAACCTTGTTGAGGATCACCAGCAGCGCCCAACTCCTATCAAACAATCCATATTCACAACCGCTATCCTAGTTCCCTTCCTGTTTTGTCTATGACAGCGCAGACGGGTGTTGAGAGATTCAGGGTCTACCGCATTAATTTGTCTACGCCCCCAAGGGGGGTATCCCAACGCTTCCACATTGTAGATTTTGGACCTGGGGGTATAGGAAAAGCCGAGGGTATGAACCAACGCGCTTCCTCCTCAATTACTAGTAAATAAGGCTAAAAAAAACTATACCCTCTAGGGGTATATGCCGGGGATTCCACCTTTAGAGTTATAACCCGGGGGTATACGGTAAATGGGGGCAATCACCTGGGGTGGAGGAGATGACCAATTAATGCGGTATCACCAAGTTGCTATCACATTCAGACCTGGACAAGCTTGAAAGGAGGCGGAGCGTAGTGTTCAAGGTCTGAGTCGAGTCGCTTGTGGAGCAGCATTGCCTCCTTTGCAGTAGTCGCTGTCGACGATAATGAGATTTTGCCCCCTATTTCTGTGCGCGTGCTAAATATCTCTCTCCACTTCTCTCTCACAGATGACTACCCAGTCATCCAAAAGTTTACTATAAAAGGCACGATACTGAAGGCTCTAGCCTCTTGTTCAGTAAGTATCACATTTAATACTAAAGTGTCACCTTACTAGTCTATAGTCGGTACATTGCTGATTTAGAAATTCTCTGGATTTCGATATTAATAGCTGGAGTAGTTTGGGTTTAGGTGTAAAATTTTAGCTTGTTCTAAGTTTTGCTAGGCTTAATTCATATACTTCAAATCAAGATACTCGGAATTACACTATAATTAAGCTATATATACGATATAGTTGTATGTCAAAATATTATACTTTAAACGCAACCACTTCAACATATAGTCTTTCAAATGGATATATTCGCAATTGTAGTACTTAAAAATACCAAAAAAAAAAAAAATTCAGACAACGGCGTATAGGGAACGCTGCTAGAGTTAATAGGAGCCGAATCGGGCCCCAGGGCGCCGGCGTGAAGAATTTGCCTTGAGATATTATAGGGATATATTCTGGAGGATTCTGTTTGATCTCCCTGGGAGCCGATTCGGTTCCCCCGAACACAGTCTTGTAGAGTCGACAGCTTTCGCACGGCAGAACTGAATAGTTAGTAAACTAAAATTGGTCACTGGAAGGGAAAGCAGGAACGTGACTGGGCAATCCGACTAGTAGGGTGAGGCGAGGGTGAGTAGCGCCCGAGCAGAGCGGCGATGCCGACTAACCGCGTTAAAAGCGACGTAGGTTAAGATTCGGCGCAGATTACCGCGGTTATTGAAGTTAGTGCTTGTAGCTGGGCCATATGCAACCAAGGAACGTCAACGTCGTAGAGCGAGGAGCATAGAAAACGCGAAGGAGAGTTGGCAAGGCGAGATAATTCCTATTTATAGTTGATTTATTCTACGGTCGATTCCCTTATTAATTATCTCAGACACAAAGTAATAACATAAGAAAATAAGAAAATCTAGACACCGAAGTACGAGAGGAGGTAGAGACTGAACAACAAGATAACGTGAGATACCATAGGACGAATCAGTACACAATTTTGGGGCCTATCCAGGTACACCTAGTACCACACTTATAACAAACGAAAGGCGTGTCTCATATAACATGTTTGAAGATCTCTCGTCCTTCTTCCAACTTTTTGATCTGATCCTCGAGGTATTCTCGTTTGCGCCTGGCTGAAGCTGGCTCGGACGCCAAATCCTCAGCCTCTTTTGGGTCAAGGTTGCTGACAAGGACTGGAGAAAAAATCTTTTCAAGTCCACGGACAATATGGCGCTCAACAACTTGCATGGTGACGTTGGCAACGAATGTCTTTTGGGAGACCTGAAAGGGTTGTCAGATAAGGTAACAAGGTGGGTGCAAACACTGGAAACGTCTCATGAAGAAAAAAGAGAGCAGACTGACCTTATAGATCGCAAAGAGACAGTCGAGGACTTCTTCAGAGCTATAATTGTCCATGTCGGGATCAATGGTCTGTGCATAACTGGACAGAACCTTCTCAACATCGACGTTTACGATGGTACGTCCCTCGTCATCATCATCATCATCATCATCATACGGGCTACTAGTTCTACTACTTGTGGCACCCTTGATAAGTTTTGAAAGTGCCGCTTTTTGCCTTGCCTGGCGGCGCTTCGTGATCGTATCCGTATAGTAATGATTGTAGTTGATCGGGTAGTTTTGGTGGTCTTTCATTAACAAGCTTAACTCTCTCATCGCAGCTTGATGGCGAGTTTTCAGAGCATCCTGAATCTTAGCCCCCCAAATCCTTCTCTTAACATCTTCGGGACACTTATCTTGAAGCAGCGTCTTCAAGAACTTGGTGCAGACAGCAGAAACCGCTTCAAGGTGTTCGATGGCTAGTTGATTCCACCTCTCAGATTGTTCCCAAAACAGTTCGCCAATTAGGAGCGGATTGAAATTCCCGATAAGCTCCTTGCCGCGATTTCGAGTGAGGGCTTTGCCGACCCAATCAAGCGCCTCATCGCTGTTTAATTGTTTTGGGGAGTTCGAATGTCTTACTGTTCTCCGTACATTGCTGGCCATTTTGGTGGATTTTTTCCCCTTGTTTGTCACTTGTCCGTCCGCCTCGCCGTCATCATCGTCGTTGTCCACTCGATCAATTTGGTACTTGTGGCCGCGAACACGCATATCCTCTGCAAACTTGGAGTTCAACGACTGCACCACGGCACGAGTTCTACAGAGTGTAGAGGGGGATGAAATGTCAAACTCCGAATCAAGATCTTTATGGAAGTAGCTGCCTTCATAATGACCATCCACGGCCGCCTTGCAAGTCTCGTAGAAATCGAGACTCAGCTGTGCCAGGTAACTTTTGCAATCCGCCCCAGACGATCGAGCACAGCCAAGTTGTTCGAGGTCCTCCCGTGTAGTTGACAAAGCCGATTCAAGTTCCTCGCGGAGGTTGGGTAGCTCCTTCTTGACGTGTTCGAAGAGAAGAAGGCTAAGGCGACGTCTAAGGGCATCCACCCCAACAGATTCTTTGGGGAGACGTTTCCACTCCGTTGTTCGAAAGAAGCTTTCCTCCAAAATGTTTCGCTCAGTAAGAGTTGCATGTCTCTCGTCAAACCTCCGGTTCTTCACCACATGCCATCCAAGCTTAAAGAATATATCCTCATTTTGCGCAAGCTCGATGTAAGAGTTTTGAGATCCGGAGCCAGCGGGTGGCATGTCAGGTTTGGTGATGACTCCAAGAGTGCGGTCTCCTTCCGGATCGACCTCTCTAACCTTTTCCAGAATTGTTTGATTCGCATAGTCGGTTGCAGCCGACACAACAGCAAGACAGATGGTCCGGGGTTGTTCAATGTAGTGCTGAGTAATCTCGGCGACAAGAGCTATATCTTGTTTTGTTGTCACCTTGGTCTCCGTCCCAATCAAACCAGGTATATCGACAAGTGTGAGCTGCGGTCGGGCTGGACCTGCAAATTCAATGCTAAGAACATCCCGTGAAAAAGCGCGAGGCTTCGCATCTGTATTTGATTCGTCGGTTACTCCAATTCCCATGACGGTCATTGCCTCATTCATAATACCGGGGAGGTCGCCGAAATCACTAATAGTGCGCTCGAAAGTCTTGATGCTTGCTTGCTCATTGGATGGCCGACTTGAATCGGGGATCACTCGAATCGTGATAGAATCCGATGTTGCCACACGAAGACTGATTTCTGTCGCATAGCGTGTACACAAGTTGTCATTTCGTGGAAAAGGGATCTCCGTCAAGGCTTCAAGGACGGAGCTCTTTCCGGCGGACTGGTCGCCACAGACAACAATTTGAGGCAATGATACTGTGCCCTCTAGTCCACATTTTCGTACACGTGCAACGGTATCGAGTACAAGCCGTTGTTCTTCGGTTTGGAGCTCCTCGAGGGAAGAGGCTGCGGTGGCTGGCATGGGCGTAGGTGTAGGAGAATGATCGACCGGGGTAAAAGACTCTGGGCTCTCTGGTTCTGACATCTTCGCTGATATCCAATGTAGGTGGATAGGGGGGTAAAGAAATTTGCTCAACTAGGTGGCGGTTACCAGGGTTCTATGATGTGAATTTCGAAGTAGGTAGAACTGCTGGCAGAACTGTTTTGAAGCGGATGAGTTCTCTAATGGATCTCTTGTGAAAGGACTATACCAGGTCTTTTGTATTGAAATGGACCATTACGGGTGCATAGGATGGGCCACAGGTTTGGTCGCTGCTGGTGAGGTTGATTCATATGAAACATGATCATTGGTCCTGATAGAGCTTGGATACGGGCAGACACGTCGGGCACACTGCCCCTCAGCTACGCAACGATGCAAGAGCCCTCACCGACTTGGTGTAATAGCGTAATAAGCGCTTCAAGACCTAGGCCTAGCGTACATGTGATAGCTCACTTGAAGCAAACGCCGCCATAAAACTTGACATGATGGGCCAATCTGAGCCTCAAGGGGGAAGCCTCTTAGCGGCTATCATTTGTAGTCACCGAGAGGGAACCAATTAATTTTGTAGTTTGCAAACGGAACTTCCATCTCGTCCGTAGCCTCGGCGCCAAAAGATCGGATACTTCCCGTCGCCATAGCTGCCTCTTCATCATGCATCTCATTGCAGGAAACTGTAAAGGGATGAGGGTGAGATGCATTATCTGCCTTATCCCACTCCCTATGCATAGTGCATATATAGGTAAGTAGGCAAGTTTAGCTGGCACATACAACCCGCAATGCCCGAACCGGGAGCGGGAATGTGCACCTGGCTAATGGGAAATCGGAAAATGGGGAAAACAAACAAACGGCAGGACTGGACAGCTGCATGACTGTGACTCTAGTCGGCGCGTAGTTGGATTGGGGCTTTGATAGAAGGCTTATCCGTTTGCTATGCAAATGTTGGTGGAGGAGGTTGGGTTTGGGGTCGAGGTTGTTTACTTGTCCAGACAAGGTCAGGGGCAAGGAAAGTGCAATACGCCACTTCCTTTCGGAAGATCAGCCACACCCGCTTTTCGACCACGCAGGGGATAATGAGTAACTCTGGCGTATTTCTTACGAAGTACTTCGTAGGCATACTTCGGACAGTAAACTATCTGTGCACGGTTTATCTAAGTGGTTTAATAATGCTCCCCAAATCCCTGTTATTTTGAGAAACTGCCCACTAGTAGTATATCCTTCTTTCTCAGTGTCGACTAACTATATTGAGCATCTTGGGTTAGTAGCCATGCCCAGTTAACTACACCTACTGTTCACCGAGATACATATACGCGCTGAGTGCCTAATTTATAGCGAAGTTTGTAATTGAAATAATATCCAAAAATATCCAATTCATAAATTCATCCAACTGTACTCAACCTCTCTAAAGAAGCTAGATGGTACATGGTATAATATCTCAACGCCATCTACTGTAGCTCTACGACTCCCCATCATACCGATTTGACCTGAGGTATCCAAACTCCTAAACCAAAGAAACGCCCAGATGCAAGAGTGAAGATATACCACACGTCATCAATCTATCGCCGTCCAACCTCCCGTCTTATTTTCCAAAACACCGTTTTCATCTCCGGGTATGGTCTATACTCGCGTGGAGTGGTAGCATGACCTACCGCTTCCGTCTACCAACCCAACTCTTTTTCCTCCCTTCTGCGATACTCTCTAGTATAGTACAGCTACCCCTCGACTGGCACACTTTACTTCTCCCCAGATTCTTGAATCTCGGGCCTAGTGGCCCATTGACATAATGATACTGGCCGGCAAACCGCCACTGTCTCAGGTCGGCCAGCTCGTAGAATTTATCACCCCAGTGACCCAGGTACCAGAACCAGCCCATCGGCGCCAGTGGATTGGACGCAGCCGGCTGGAGTTTGTCATGCATCTCCTGTGTTGAGAGGGACCGAGCGTCTTGATCGTGGGTGATGGAGGTGTTGAAGTGATAGGCGAGGTAGTTGAGGGACGGATCCCACAGCGGTCCTTTATCAGTGACGTCGGCGAGGAGTCCGAATGGAAGGACATAGGGGTGTTTTCCTGGCGTGGCATACATGGCATGAGAGCCATATGCGCTATATAAGACAGGTCGGCCCTCTCTGCCTGGTCCTCTACCCTTCTCAACCGCATGATAAGCGTATGCAAGTCCTCCGGAATGAGCGGAAAAGAAAACTGCCTTTGGGACCCCGTTGTGGAAGCGGACTAGAGAATGTTCCCAATCGCCAACGTGGTTGCCGAAACGAATGTTTAGGACCGTGGTTCCAAGATTGTAGTTGTAAAAGTAGAACCAAAATGCGTCGACGATGCCGTCTCCTTTGTCTACCATAATAAGAACTACGGGAGCAGGAGAGTAACCGCTTGGATATTTAACAGCAGGGCTGCGTCTTCTTTTCGATCGTATTTCAAGGCGGGAAGGACGATGCAGCGGCTCCGGGGCGCGGAACGTCTCGGAAGACAACGGTTCGGCCTTCTTTGGTTTATTAGGTCCCAAGGGATCGTACCACGGCTCTTTCTCATACCACGGCGACTTTTCAGCAGAAAACTGGGTATGTTGATTGGTTTCACTTTTCTTGCCCTCGCCATCGTCATCGTCATATGGCATCGGCTTGTTATAGGCACTTCCTAACCACTCTGGCCGGGTTTCTACGTCGTTTTTACTCTGCATAAACAGATTCCTCCAACTTTCTTTCTCGTTCAGTTCATGGAGGTTGTATACGGTGTGTTGCGAGTTGTTCATTCCCATGGGAGTGTGGTGTCGGTACGGGGCCGTATGCATAAGGTGTTCCGCCATATCCGATGGCCAGAACTGCTCTTTGGAGTAAAGATGTATCAAAGGCGCATGGTCAAGCACATATTGCGGTACGTCCTTCAGCACCCTCCCATCGCCATCCCAGTCCCCTGGTCGAAGTCTATTTCCTCCTCCGGCAATGTCCTTCCAGTCTATGTATTTAACGTAGTCGTCTCCGTCTAACACCAGCGGCTCCTGGGTCTTGCCTGTCCTCTTCTGGTTCCCCCATGATATCGCGGCTGGGTCCGGGTGGTAGTGGGCAAGCCCGCAGATACTAAGCCAGCGGCATGCCTGGCGATCAAGCCAGTACTCCGACGTTGCTATCCAGCGCGCATCCTCTCTTTCCTCCGCGCTCTTCCGCGTATTGGGGTTGAGGTGCCGGTAGAGAGCGACGACGGCGAAATAAAGGACAACGACCGAGACCACGGTGATGGTGATCCGCCGAAGGTAGTACATGGAGTCGTGCTCCTCCGGTTAGGCTCACCGGAAAGGGCAAGGTTGGGATGGGTATTGTCCGGGCCGCGATGGTAACGTTGTCAGAGTAGCCAAGATAGAATGCATTGAATGATGGAAGCTCAACGGGACCGGCGGAGCAGGTGGTGAATTGTCGTGGAGGAGGGGGGGG